AGCCTAACCACTAGACCACCGACGCTCATGTATTTTAAAGTTGATAAAACTGCTGAGAGTATCGTGGAAGGAAAAGAAATCAAATGAGGTAGTGCTTGATGGAGCCTGATGAGATGAACCCTACGTGGGACGCTCAATGTTAAAAACAATCAGGAAACGACAAATGCAGTTTCTGGGACACCTAAATAGTCATAAAGGTCTTGAACATCTAGCTCTCACTGGCAAACTTGAAGGCAAACGAGGCAGGGGTAGGCCCAGAGCAACCTACTTAGGGAACCTAAACAAATGGGTAACGGGGAAGAATCAGGGAAACGTAGCTTTTTTGAGAGGATCCGAGCAAAGGAATGAATGGAAAACCATGATCGCCGATGTCTGTCGCAGGTCTGGCACTGGATGATGATGATGAAAACATTGATGTCCATATTCTACCATTCAACCATAGAAAGTATGATCAATTTTCGTATAACAGCATGGGCCGGGAACACAAGACAACAAGATTTTTTAAAAAATTAAATCGACTACTACGGAAAGCATGTAAAAGTTCAGCATCTACAGTCCCCGACTTGGATGAATTGTGCATACACAGATTGCACTAAAATAATAAATTCCATCTTTTTAGACAACAAACATCCCTTGTTCCCTTAGATAATTAAAAACCATTAAATGATATCAAACCGTGCTGTGAACTGTTGTGAATGCAAACAACGTGTATTTCGCGCGCTCATATGACGTTATGTAGTTTCGAGCGCGTAAAATTCTTACTAATGGGGGCTCTCGTGGTCTAGAGGTTAAGGTGTTCGCCTCTCATTCAAAGGTCCCGTGTTCGAATCCGGCGATAGCGACGGAACATTTTCTTCTCTAAAAATTGTCCCCTTTCACATCCTGTCCTGCTCTCTAGCAATATTCTGTCGTCTGCTTTTGTCTCCACTTTCTACCCCCCCCCCCCCACCCCTCACCTCCTTTGCCCCCTCCTCTGGGCTCCTGATTCTTTCTGCAGCCTTTCTACTGCTACTCTTTGGCTCCTTCTTACTTCTGTCTTTCTGCCACACCCCTGATCTTCTTGTCGGAAAGATCTACACCTAGCCTTCTCGGACAAGGGCGAAAAATCTCGGAGGTCCCGTGTGCAAGTTGCGCACACTAAAGATCCCGTGGCGGTTCCAAATTGATAAGAGAAGGCTTCGGCCGCCACCCTATCAAAATTCAAAATTTCCTACCAACTGAAAATGTTAAATGTGTCCCGCGCGCTCATATGACCTGAAGCGCCGTAAAACATTAACAAAAAACAACAAACCCAACCCAACTAAACAAACTAAATGAGAGGCAAACGCTGTAGGCCTACCACGAGACCACGGGGGCCTTCTGGATCTTAGTGGGACTCATAAGTAGGCCTACAATATTGTTCCTGGCATTCACAGTCTGTGTTTTTCCACGGATTTTCGTGTCACGTGATGAATGTAGACAGTAGAAGTAATGTATCTGGGAATAGAAGGGTTTAGAGCAGATTGATCAGCTTCTGTATTCTCCATTCACCAACAACTTCATTTGTTTCAGTGATATATTATTAGATCAGGTCTAAGCGGTTCCCCTTCAATCTTATCCGTACGGCCTACGGTCATTTTGTACCCACTGGGTCGTATTCTTCACATTTTAGAATACTTCTAGGACGAAGATCTCTTTGAAATGTTCGGTATTTCTCCAAAAAAATATTTTGACTGTCTTCTGTGCAAGGCGTACTGATCGGATTAGCGAGTAAATGTCCTCTTTCAAAGTGGTGGCACAAAGTTCCCCACGTCGTATGGATACGATAGTAAAACACGACGTACGGATAGGGTTAAGTGGTGGCACAGAGTTCCCCACGTTGTATGGATACCATTTTCTGACGTACGGATAGGGTTAAACATCTCTCTAACAGCGTTTTTTATTTCTACATCTTTTACAATGTGTGGTTTAAAGTTCGATCGATTTTTCAATAAACTAATAACTGAATATTGGCAAAAGTATTATTGTATCTGGGTCTTTTTGGTTCATGTCTTTGTGGAGTTTTTGTTGGTGCGTAATAACAAAGAGATTATTACTAAGTTGGTGAAATGGTAAGGTATATGCGTGTGTGTGTGTGTGTGTGTGTGTGTGTGTGTGTGTGTGTGTGCGAGTTTGTGTGTACGTGTGTGTATGTGTGTGTGTGAGTGTGTGTGTGTGTGTGT